GCAAAGGCACGGCTTGGCTTTTCCATCCCTTTTTCCATTTATGAGCTCATTTATCCCATCTATCTTTCTCCAACATCAAGTCCTGATTAGGCTGAGCAGGAACACAACAGGCTTTCTTTCCCACAGGAGGCTCTTTTGACCTTCCTTTCCTCTCCTTGTCTGACAAATTGTGGGAGCTGACCCATATCTCAGCGGCTGCGGGGATAATTCAGACCAGCCCCATCCTGGCAGGCAGCTGTCTCTGCAGCCCTTCTCTGCTGGTTGAGAACAAGTGGCTGGGACACCTCGGGCCGGCCGTTGGCAGCGTTGGGTGCGGGCGTTCAGGTTAAATAAGAACCAGTGCTAACCTTTGCCCCAAACCCAGTCTGGTTGGGAGGATGGGCGCTTCTGAAATCAGCTGGTTCTGCAAGGCAGACAGTGATGAATTGGAGAGGTTTCTTAGTCTTGCTCTGCCTCCCTCTCCCATCCATGAAGGGGATGGTGAAGATAGGGATTGAGTGATGTTCTGCGGTGAGCATCTGTCCTTGTAGCAGCACACTCACTGAGCAAGGTGTGCGTGGCACAGTGAGGGACTCTGGTCTTACCTGAACCCTGGGCATGACTTGAACATGAAGAACCTGCTTGGATATCTTCTTTTAAGTTATTTTCCATGAGGGTGTTCCTGTATTTGTCTGCTCACGTGAGCTGAGCAGTTTCTATAACGCATCTCCTGTCTACATAATATGTTCTTTGGAAGACGATTCACAGGGACATAATCTCAAATGTCTTTAACTTTTGTCTTCAGTGGCCCTTGTTACACTTACATATTCTTGGAAAGCAGTACTTTTACACAGCGCAGGATGTCTTTGCTATGCACGGACAAATGATAATAAAGAACTTGTCTTTTTAAGAAAAAACAGGTTTCTGACATGGCATTTTTTCTGCTGCTGGGTTCTTCACACAGCCCTTTTCCCAAGTGCTGACTATGTTTGCCCCAGCATAAAACTCTGGTTGTGCCATCCAGCCCCTTCAGCCTCTAGAACATCTCCATAGGCAGACCAGCAGCTTCAAAACTTCCTCCTTTTCCTCCTCTTCTTCCCACCAGTCTGGTTTTAGCAGCCGTAGCCTTCACCCCAGGCTTAACATGGTGTAACAGGATCCTCTGGCAGGGGGAATCTTTAGTGGCTGATAAAACCTTAACTGTTGTGAAATGAAAGCAGGTTCCCTTTGAAGTGCGCCTCGCGTTACAGTTAGATGCTCTAGCCTCTATATTTTAACTACCAATAAAATGATTTATAAGCATAAAGGCCTGAGCCACCTTTGAGGCAGGGGAAGGGAAAGAATTGCTAACGTCATTAGCTGAAATGTATCTTCTTTTTTTCTGTGGGTTATAAATAAGGGGCAGAATCAACCTGTTTGGGCCATGAAATGTCCCTTCCTCTGCATGGGAAGATAAATCCCATCAATTTCTTTGTGGAAGGTTTCCATGTATTTGTGGCTGGTTTCTCCAGCCAGGCTCTGTTAGGAGGCACCACGTTTAAGAATGTAGTTGTGAATCTCGTTTGGTGCATGTGTGTTTACTGTTATTATCGTTTATTATTTGTTTTGCTGTGATGCTCCAGCCAAGACTGAGATCTTGCTGCACTGGGTATGGTGCCTACTGGCAGTTAAAGAGACCGTCTATCTCAGATGGCTGATTGTTGAAACAAACTAAAATAAATTCAAATGTGGGGTTTATCCCCAATGTAGAGGTGGTGATCTGATGTGTGGGTTGTGTAAGGACCAAAGTTTGTTGAATGCAGCAATGTTTCCACTGACTTCAAAGCAGAAGAGCGATAACTTTCGTGAAGTCACAGAAGGAACCTGTAGCATAATTAATTGCTGACTTTCTCTGGTGATATTCAGCTGTCTTGAAAATTAGCTTTCCCTTCTTCACAAGCCTGTAGGTGTTGTAGGCCAAAGTATGCAAGATGCCCCAAGAGTGGCCTGTGCACAGGCCTTTCTGGTTGACTTTACCTGGTTGTAAAAGTATCTTTTTATCTCCTTTAAAAAAATAAAGGAACTACACACCCTTCGCTGGATGTGGAGAAGCGAGACGGGACGAGTCGTAAAGGCGTGCGTGAATTTTAATTCTGAACAACGGACGCAAACGTGTGTGTTGGTGCACGGACAACGATAACCCCACGTGATGTAACATAAGACAATGCAAATCCTTCCAGAGTTGTGTTTTGATCCTGTGTTAGCCAAGCCAACTTGCAAACCATGACAAGGGAGCCAAGTACTTGTGGGGATGTTGTTGGAGAAACGCGTCCTGTACTAGACGACCTTGCTCCACATGTTTCTTCTGAACTTCTAATCCCGAGTGGATTTGCCAGCATCTGGCTCTTGGTTATAAAAAAGGAACTTTCCCACCCTTTGCAATGTCGGGAAAGTGTCAGTGGCTTTTACAATCTTGGAGTTCGATTTTTCTTTCCCCCTCTATTCCTGGCTTCATAGCTCCTTGGTTATGTTTTCCCTTCAGGTATTTGAATTTTATATGCTATCCTTAGCATTGAGATCTTTTTTTTGGAGTGGAAGCTCTTCCAGCCTGGGACTAGGCCTTTTTCTCTGAAGAGAGAAGGTTTATTTATCTCCTTTTGTTCAGCTTACAAAAATATCCAGTTTTGATGTCCTTAATTGTGAAAGTGGAAGCAAACGATGAGAGGAGGAGCCGAGTTCCGTATCCCTATTTCAAAGAACGAATCACTCAGACATGCATGCACGAGAAAAGGACAGGACCGTCCTCTTTGCACGACCAGGACAAACAAAAAGTTATTTATTCATTTGTCTTGCTCACTGCTGCTAGAAACCGTGCCATGAATTGGACCGTATAAAAGAGTTGTAGAGTGCTACAGACCTTAAGGATCATTTATTTCTCTCTCCTTAACTCCGTCCTAGATTTTGCTAGCGATTTTTGGTGCCAAAAATGGACACAGAGGTTCTGACCTGCATGGACTTTGTTGATCAATGCAGATCGGATGTGAGCTGACCTATTTCTGTCACACTGTTGGAAGGTGCTACGAGGTTACGCTGCTTCAGCCAGTAGTGCAGTGCAGTAGGAACAGGTCTGTAAAAAGACGTGTTTGGTGCCAAGGACCTGACATCAGCACTGTACACATTTCAGGACGCTTAATTTAGACCCACTGTTCCAAAGAAAACCGAACTTTTTTTGTTTTCACTGTGCGTGGATGTAAATAACAGTGTGAAGTGAAGGACTGCTAGGGACTAGATCCTTCCTAGCCAACATCATCAGGTTGCCCAGAGAAGTTGTAGATGCCCCATCCCTGGAGGTGTTCAAGGCCAGGTTGGATGAGGCTTTGGGCTACTGGTGTAGTGGAGGGTGTCCCTGCCCATGGCAGGGGGGTTGGAATGAGATGATCTTTGAGGTCCCTTCCAACGCAAACCATTCTATGATTCTGTCATCAGCAGGTCACACAAAACTACCGTTAGCAGGTTTTAATCAAACTGTTTCCACAGCACACTAGTAGATGAGCAACATGTAGAAAGAACGATGACAGACTGTGATCCGGAGAACCTTGCAGAAATTGGTGCGTGAAGCTCAGCGTACGCTTGTCTTTGCAGCGAGCACCACTGCAGTGCACGTGGACCGAGAGCCAGCGCTCCGCTAAGTGAGCAGCTCTCGGTGAAAACGCGTTGCCTTGTTGTGCCGAGTGAGTTATACGTACCCGCAGGTGCCAGGAAGAAAAAAAACCAAACTCACAAGCGACTGTTTGCAGGGGGACTCAATTTAAAGGCCAGAGAAAGACACCTGCTTTGAGAGTTGCATCATGTCTGAAGTGCGAGGCACATCGGGCTGAGGTTCTGCTGTTTGTAGGAAAGAGAGTTTTGTTTTGGTTCCCAGGATGTGGGGACAGTTTGGACTGCAGCACCTCAAACCCTTGTAACCCCAGCTTCTCATCTGACGTTGAGCAGCTTGGAAGACTGGTGGAGGATTTTTTTTTTTTCCCCCCGAATGCTTTACACTCTTGATTTTTGCTCCATTTTTTCTTGTTGCTGTGAAATTTAATCGTGTTTTCTAGCCCTTTAGGCCTCACAAAGTCCAGCAGCTGCATTCTCATCTGGCTTGAAAGCTTATCCGCATACTTCTGAACCCCAAACAGGGACCGGGCCTGAGAGCCTCTCTGATTAAATGAAGTAAACCAAGCCCAAGAGACAGCATGAGAAGCCCCCTCCACTATGCAGAAGCGAGATTGCCCGTGATAAAACACATCAGGGCAGACAAATGCATTTAGAAAAAATCTCCCCTTGAGTCTTACAGGTAAACTAGCGCTGTAGGAAACACGAGCCCAGCTTTGTACATGCATTAATACCGGGTTTATTTTAATGCACAGAGATTTAAATTGGCTGCAGTACAATTCTAGCGCACGCTGCAGTGCCTCTTGCGAGGAGAGCATGTCTTAGCATACAGACAACAGTGATTTGCTGCAGTACAGAGAAGCTAAGAAAGCCCTGTATTCCCTCCGGTCTGGTTCTATCTATTTAGCTTGTCTAACATAGAAACCATGATGCTAATCTGTCTATTTATCCCTCCTAACAGTGCAGCCGTGTTGCTATTATGGTACTTAATCCTTCAGCATAATTCACATAGTTGTCAGATAACAAGGCAGAATGGCCAGGTGGTAGCAATGCATCTATTCGGTATGGACTCGGAATACACAAGCTAAATTATTCCTCTTCGTCTCACCCTACTGCTGATAGCTCCCTCCCACGCTCCTGGTAGTATCTTTCACAATTTTAAACGCATGTATCTTCACCCAGGAGACAGGGCAGTAGTAGTATTGCCATTTGGGAGAAAGGAAACTGAGGAACGGAGACGAATACTCATAAAATCCGTGTCAGGCAGCGACTTGAACCTATTTTTGGCCAGTGCTGTTATTCAGGATGTGTTTCCATCAGCAGCCCAGGTGAGATGGGACAGCAGCTCAGAGTGAGTCACACGTGGTCCTTCCTCTCCCCATCAGGTGTGGTTCAGCAACCGAAGAGCGCGATGGCGCAAACAGGCGGGAGCAAACCAACTTGCAGCTTTCAATCACCTGCTGCCGGGGGGTGAATGCCGACTCTTCCCCCGTACCAGCTACCGGACTCCACCTACCCAACAACCACCATTTCCCAAGGTGAGCACCCATTTGCCTGTGCTGCTCCTCTTCTCTTGCCCTACATCATCCCATTGTCCCTTCCCTTTCTGGTTCATGACATCCCACTAAGGCTTTTGTAACACATAGGTGATTTTTCTTTGGCTGGGGAGGCCAGGTTTTTCCTCAAGTCAATGGAAACTCCACAGTTTTCGTGATCCTTTCTTTTGTGTCAATGCGTCTCACGACCATAGCTCTTCTGCTTGGCTTTGAAATGGAGAGCACATCAGTCCAAAGTGAGTATCATATAGGTGATCTCTCCATACCTGGGGCTCAGTGGGAGGAGTGCTGCTAATTCCAGGTGGCTTTGGCCTTGGCAAAAGAATTTATGGCTTCAGTCTGGAGGAAAACCAAGAGAAAATTCAGATATTTCATCCCAGGTTTGCATATTTTGTACAGTGCATGGACTGTGATGTGCTTGTGTTCACATGGAGCACAGAGATGGTGAGACCCAGAAGCTGAGACCAGGATAGCCAAACCATCAGCCCATGGTTTGCACGGTCCCAGCTGTAACACCCCACGGCTGTTTACCTCTGAACGCTCTCTCCGCAGACGGGGGAAGCACCGTACACAGACCCCAGCCCCTGCCGCCGTCCACCATGCACCAGGGAGGGCTTGCCGCAGCCGCCGCTGCCGACACCGGCTCTGCCTATGGGGCCCGGCACAGCTTCTCCAGCTACTCGGACAGTTTCATGAACGCTGCAGCTCCTGCCAACCACATGAACCCTGTTAGCAACGGCCTCTCTCCGCAGGTATGTGACCCTCTTCCATTCACTTTCTTTGGCTGAGAGTATTTGGCTGGTCCAGATCCTCTGAGAGCAGGGCGAGCTTCAGGCTATCACAGTGCATTTTGGTTAACAAGGCAGTTATTGTTATTGTCACGAGTTCTTGGAGGCAGCCTAGTTAAAGCAATTAGTTCATTTGTTTATCAGCAGTATCTCTATCCTGAGCTCAGCACTGTACTGCCAGAGCATTTGTATCCTGTTAGTTCCCGTGTTCAGGTTAGCACACTGTAATCACAGACACCAGGACCTAGAGCATCAGTGTTCATCTTCTCAGCCCTCCAAAAAAATTGCAGTGCAGGTGTGAACCCTTCCGTCGTGGATTCTAGCCTAATGACAGCACGCTTGACTTTTTTAGTTGCTTTTTGATTAGTCCATGATTTGTGGGTGACTGATTTAGAGATTAGCTGAAGCCAGCCTGTCCAAGCCTGGCTGGAACGTGGAAAGCCTTTACTTATGAAAGCGCCATGGATCTGAGCTTTCTCAAAACACAGGGCTGGAGATCTGGGATTTAGTTTTGAGAAACTAATTGTCATGTAAACAATTCTGCTAATGCTTTCCACAAGGTCAGAATAAGAGATGTAGGTAAGCTTTGAAGGAGAAAAGATACACTTCACATGCATCTGTTT